TAAATGCTACCTTGCTAATTGGTTACACAATGATTTGATATAATTAGCATAGCACTTTCTGAATGTGGACAGCAACATAAAACATAAAACATTTAACGGTTCTCAAATAAGCTCAAGCTCCACTCGTCACCATGATGGTAACCCTACAAAAAAAAAATATATATATATATATATATATATATATATAAAATTAACTAAACAGCATAACAACACATTAAACACCACTTAACATTAATCTTGCAAAAAAACATTATATAACACTTAATTTTAGCATTTACTCTCCCTTTTGAGTGTCATGGCAAAGCATGAAGCATTAAAAGAAACAAGTTCATAAAACTCAAAACAAAGAAACAATTCAGATTACTTAAAATATGCCAGTTTTGTGAACTCAAAAGAAAAAGAAAGTTCTAAATATTCATATTATTCAACTAATATTCAACTAATTTGTTTAATTTCAGTTGGCTCTACACAAACCAATTAATTATTTTGAGTGTTAGGGTTTAAACTTTAAAATGTTCCTACTGCATAAACCACCAGAAACGTTCTAGAGTAGACGGAAGATGGAGAGAGTCTCAATGATGAAGAAACAGGAGACTTACAATGGAAAGCTTTATTCTGTTCTATTTGATGGATACACGTACAAATTTACTCAGGAGCTTCTAGAAGTGTTTGAAAGTCACCACTAATTGCTTTATCATTATGCAGATAATAGAGATGCCTTTGGTATTTAATCTCATCACATTGTCATAAAACTCACTCTGGGAGCCACATGCCTGATGGTGCAAATCACGATCACTGTGTGAATTGGGGTAAAACTGCTGGGCTGGAGATGAAGGGGTGATGACATCATTCACACACACACATTTAGAATGTATTCCTATTAGGGCTGTCAGTTAAACGTGTTATTAACGGCGTTAACGCAAACCAATTTTAACAGCGTCAATTTTTTTATCGCGCGATTAACGGTCTTTTTGGCCTAGCAAACTTTGTAGTTTTTTTCACATGCTTTTGCAACAGGACGCGGCATGCGCGGCACTGCGCTATGAAACCCATTCATTTCAATGGCTTGCGCCACGCGAGGACGTTTTGTTGCTTCGTCGACCAAAGCGCAAGCGGATCTAGCTAGACCGGAAACAAAACAACAGGCACGCCGCACACACTTGTTTGGGCTTGCGAGCCGGCCAAATAGGTTAACGTTATGGTTTGAGTGGATGACGAGCGCGAGACGCCGAAATGGATGCCAATAAGATTCTGAATGGAAAGTTTACTTTTAAAAAGTTGCCAAATGGTTCCATTGACAACACCAGGCTGCGTTCACACTGCAGGGGCTTAATGCTCAATTCCGATTTTTTGAAAAAATTCGATTTTTTTGAAAGGCCGTTCACATTTCCAAATAAATGCGACCTTTTGTGATCTCCTGTGTGAACGTGAAATGACCCAGAAGTGACCCGCATGCGCAGAAGAGTACTTAACGGTCAATTCCATAGACAGTAAAAGAAATGGACACAGCGACCCCATAGACTTCAACGGAGAAAAGTGAAGTCAAATAGAAGCACTCACTTCCTGATTGCCAAGCGTACTGCGCAGGCTCAAACTGAGCTTGAAGACGTAGTTGTTGTGACGTGAGCAACCTGACTGAGTCGCGTGTTATGACGCAATCGTTAGCCTATTTTTACAAAAACTGCTTCTACGGGGCCACAACGTAAGATACAAGGTAATGGAGCATTTTATACATTGTCGTGTTTCTTTAGAAATAAATAATGGACAAATGGAGTCTTTAAACGTCTCAGATGTAAAGTTATTCGCTGTCAAAGTGACGCAAAAATGAATGGGAGTCAATGGGATGCTAACAGCAGGTGAAGGCTTGTTAGCCAATGGCGGCGCCCGGGGAGACTTCAGTTTCCGGCTGGTGGATTACCCCCTTGGTCAATTCCAGCCTACTTCAACGCAGAATTATGACGTTTGTCGCATATCAATGACGTGCGGGTCGGATAAATGTGACCTGGCCGTTCAGATTGAAGTCGCATTTCAAAAGATCAGATACATATCGGATTTGGACCACATACCCAAGTGGCCTGGGTCGCATTTGAAAAGATCGGATCTGTGTCGTTCAGACTGTCATGAAAAGACCAGATACAGGTCGCATTGGGGCAAAAAAATCGGAATTGGGTCGTTTCAGCCTGCAGTGTGACGTAGCCATAGTGATCTGTGTGTTTTGTCTTTGTGAACTGAGCTATCGTCATCGCAGCACGTCCAGTCTGAAATACCACTTGATGATGGCCAAGCACAAACACACACACACACAGCTGATGCGAATTCTCCGCCCCCTCGTCAATATCAGGACCTTGTCAGTATTTCTTGCACCCTTTTATTGATGGACAGTGTTACATTGTGTGAGAGATTATTTTCTCCAAGTGAGAATGTTAGTGTGAAATTGAACAGTATATGTCAATGTTGTTTTCAATAAAAAACATTTGCACAAAGCAAGACCATCCACTTTTCCATGTTGATAAGAACATTAAAATGAGAAAAAATAATGAGACAAAAAGAAATCAAGAGACATTTAGAATAGATAAAAATGTGCGATTAATCGCGAGTTAACTATGACATTAATGCGATTAATCGCGATTAAATATTTTAATCATTTGACCGCACTAATTCCTATATATTCACATCATCGTAGTAGAATAATGTCACAGGTAAATTTGCATGAGTGCAAAGCACATTTTTAGATGGTGTTTTTACTTAATTAGTTATATTCAGAGCAAATATGAATGATATATCTGTGTCTTTCATCTCTATCTCAAAGTCGATCACCTGTGGGCGTCACAAAAGCAGCCGTATAGAGCAGCTACACCCATCAATATCTTATCTCACAATGTTCTTCTATCCAAAGGCCACTGTTGCAGCCCTGTCCCTTGAGAAAGGTGACATTTCTCCGCTGTAAATGCCAGAATTTGCATTGCCCACCATCCTGCTTATGTTCCGGTCGGCTGGAGAATGGTTCATTTTTAGTTCGCCAGCACACCGCACGACATGCAGCCTGTGGGTGTTGTTTACAGATGAACTCAAGCTGTTCCAATGCAAGATGACTGTGTGGACTCACCAAAAGTTCTCAACAACAACCCGCCTTGTGGTTAATTATGCGTCTCTCAAAATCACCTTCCAAAATTCATAATTTTGCTTAACAGAAGCATCCACATTTGACAAACCCACAGCCATATGATTACCTCTGAGATTTTTTGGGAAGTGCCAGCACTAGATATCATGACCCAAATCGGCACAGACTGAGTCCAAATACAGATGAACGTCCCCCATCGTCTTATGTCTGAGAGGAATGCCAGATATGCTGGTTTCCCTGCGATGCACTGAAGATCAGGATCAACTTTCACCATGAGGGGCTTCTCCACCTTTCAGTGCTCGTACCAATGCATGCGTTTGACAGATTCTTTCCACGCAAGAGCTTACTAGGGTGGTTTCAAATAGAAAAACAACAAACTGTCAAAGAAATCAGTGATGCGAACAGTGTGCTGACTGAGCATGTAAATTAATAAAGGAAGGCGGCGGTAAAGACAGGACAGAGTGACAGGGGGCTGAAGACTTTCCATTATGTTTGGTTGAGGGTACTGAAATTGCTTTTGTACTGTATAATGATGCTGGTTTACAAGTGATTCAACTGAATGGTTTACTGATCTGAAGCGTACAGATGAGACTAGCAAAATCAGACAATTGAAACATGGCTGGAAAAAAGAAGCCAATTTTGTAACCAGGACGGCCGAGTGGTTAAGGCGTTGGACTTAAGATCCACTGGACAAATGCTGCTATAAAATAATTAGCATTATAAAATAATATGTGGTTGCATTTACCAACAAACCAGTTTCTCAAAGTTTCTCCAGCATTGCAAAGTGACCAGGATGGCCGAGTGGTTAAGGCGTTGGACTTAAGATCCAATGGACAAATGTCCTCGTGGGTTCGAACCCCACTCCTGGTAGATTGTACAATTTAAATTACATCATAGTAATCCTGCTTTATGTGGTTGTGTTACCAACAAACCAGTTTCTCAAAGTGATTCTGAAGAACAAAAGGGTTTTTAGTATTACAAAGTGACTTGTGGACCAGCCAGGTGAGAAGTCAGCGCAATGATGTAGAATGTAAGATCAAAGGCCTACGTTCATGAATGTTAAACTGCTCCTCAACTGCATCTCTCCTGAAGCAGAACACTTTCACCTGTGATCTCTGCAGGCAAAACTCTTTCGCATCCGCCCAATATGTTCTCACATGCTGCCAAAGCACACATCTGATGCTTACATTTCTCAGCCATCTCTTCTGATGCCTGTGTCACAAAATATAGACTGAAGGCACTTTTATTTTGTTCAGTTCACAATTTACTGTATCATCATTTTGGCCCAGTTTCAACTTGATATTAAATAAATAGTTCACACAAAAAAGAAAAAAAATTGCATTTAGTAATATTAAAATGTGCCTGTTTTGCTTCACTTCTGTTGCTCATTTGATTATGTCCTTGGCGGGGGTTTTTTTTTTAGTTAACGGGCTCACCTTGAATGCTTTAAATGCACCTTAAAACTACACACCATGAACACTCCAGAGTCCTGCCCATCTCATCAGAACTTAAACAGCAGTTAAGAAGACAAATGAAGGTTCTGAGTCTGGAAATATTACATCAAAACAACCAGAAGTGACCCGGATGGCTGAGTGGTTAAGATTCAATGGACACATTTTCTTGTAGGTTTGAACCCCACTCCTGGTAGCAGGTTAGCAATTTTAAAACTGGACAATGAGGTGAAAATTTATGGCAAACTACAGTTGGTTGATATACAATTGTGAGGCATTGGAAGCCTAATGTTAAAGATTAAAAACTCCAAAAATATGTTTGTCTAAGCACTGATAAGGTTTTGAAATTAATCTGTTTATCTTGCAAACACATTCATATGTGGGTGAAAAACACATTTAACCTTTTGATATATTATTACAGATCCTACCTTGCCCATGCCGGGAGTGTCTTTGACTTTGTTGACTGCCCGTAAGAGGCAGGGTGGAGCGGGGGGCGGAGACACCTGCAGGATGCCACTGAAGTTGGTGGGAAAGAGGGGTGGATCGCATGCCACGGGGGGCGCAGGACGCTGCTTCTTCTTCTTGGAAGACAGATTCAATTTCTGGGCAGCCCTGTGGATAAATAAACACAAGCCAAGTTACTAAAACTAGAGCAGATGTGTATGCATGTACAAACACTGCGATCTCTCAACTGTTTACATTGATTCCAAGTTTTTGTTTGCTCAAGAAAGTGTTTTGTATTTCAAATAAAATACAGCTTGGAACGTTCAGATGTAACAATGCAGACCAAAACTGATTTTGTGAACAATCAAGTGAAGCGGTAAAGTTTATGTTTTTCAGTAAATTTCTTGTCCATCTCAAAACACACTGCTGAAGATTGGTCAATTGTTAACTGCTCAATACATGCACGTCACAGCTAATCAGAAGAGAAAAGAGACATCTGCAAGGTCTTCAATGCAATTACAACAGCATTTCCAGCATTCTTTTACTGCTGAGTGCTCACGGATAGCATGCGGGATCTGAATTTACTAGATAGATAGATAGATAGATAGATAGATAGATAGATAGATAGATAGATAGATAGATAGATAGATAGATAGATAGATAGATAGATAGATAGATAGATAGATAGATAGATAGATAGATAGATAGATAGATAGATAGATAGATAGATAGATAGATAGATAGATAGATAGATAGATAGATAGATAGATAGATAGATAGATAGATAGAGAATGGTCTCCTTACTCCTGGTATAGGCAAATGGAATTTTAATTGCTTTTAAGTTGTGGATGAGTAGGAAATTCTGAATTATATCTGTTTGGCCATAAAACTGGCCACCTATTACTAAACCTCAACACTGTACTTACAAATGGGGTCCAAATTGTAACTCAGTTCTCAGTGCATCAATAAATCACATGCACAGTGGCAACCATAGTAAATGAGTTGATCCACAATGATTGTACCTGTGGACATCATGTGAAATTCTAGTGTTTTTAGTGTTTGAAGAGATATTGAGATTGGCTTTGACTTGGGAGCGGGAGAAGTGAGGGTCGATTGATTCTAACCGCGGTCTCGCAGCTTGTTAGAGACCGTTTCAATTGGCTCTTAGAAGAGTATCGATCAGTTCAGCATTTTCACCTGACCAAACATATCTGTGCAGAGGCTTATCACAGCCTCATTTAGACTCCCACTGGATCTGGGTTCAGATGATGGAGGCTGAAATTGCAGTTTACAAAACTGAAATAACCTCATGTGGTCAAACATGAAAACACATGAGGGTTTTGCCGCAGGGATGAAGAGAGTGGTGATCTGAAAATATGGCATGTGAAAAAATTGCAGTTGGGGACCTAAAAAAGGTAAAATGTTTCTTGCAGAAATTAACATGTTTTCAGCCCCTAATGTATTCATTTGTTCCAAGCCAAAATTATCTTATCTGAGAGGCCAGGTTTAGGTAAGATATCTCAAGATTTATGTTTGCTTGCCTCTAAAGAATTGATAGATATATAGACAAATGTGTTCCCAACTCCAAATGGTTTAGAGTCTCCTCAGGGTACAAATATTTTCATAATGGAGTTGTAAATTCCCCTTGAAATTCATGCTGGTCCAAGCAGTTTTTTCAGCAGGGAAGACAATTAGGCTGGTCTCTTGTGTTTGGGTGCATGTTTTAAAGGTCTTGGTGGTTCGTCTGGCAGTGATGCGTTAATCAACTGTACAGAGCAAGTAAGGTAATAGACATTGCACACAAAACGAAAGGGCAGTTCTACTCCCCAAACTTCAACGCAGACGTCCAAAGGCATTGCAAACTCTCTCCCAACGGATCCAGAAGATGTGTGAGTCTTATTTTCTCAGATTAGCAAAAGGAAAATGCCAGTTTGTTCACTTTGTGTTATAGTACCTTGAGGCACAATCATTCATTTTGAAGTTCTCCACCTTTGCCAAACTGTGCAAATCTATTCAAAGTCAAAGATACAAGCAGAAGAGAAAAATTGCTCACGGTACAGACATTTAAGTCTCCCAGCACTAAAATCACTTCACATCATATACAAAAAATACACCTTCAGCCTTTGGCTATCATAGAAGAACTTGAGTGCTGTGGTTTAGACCTGCTACAGTATTTGATAAAGCAAAGAAAATATTTTGCGAACTTATCAAATTTCTGTTGTGAGGAGTGGAGCGAAGTGGTTACTGTAAGGGGAAAAAATAATAAACATCCTGGCAGATAAGAGATGGTGAAAATAGCTGGAAGTAATAATAACACTCAGTGTTTGTGTACAAATCAGGTCTGGAGATACAGTTACTGTGCTAGCTATGAAATCATCAGCACTTTGGATGCCAACAGAAAGAGGAAACTTCCTCAGAAATGAGACAAATTATCACCTGGATGCATTGTCAGGGGAATGTTTGTTTGTGTGTAAAACTTGTGTGTAGCCCCTAAAGGGTTGTGATGAAGTACATGGCTGAGCTCCAAGGCGTTGTGTGAAGTGCAAAGCGAGGTAATTATTGTGACACTCATTAATGTCAGGAAAACAGTTTTCTCTCTCACACACACTTTTAACGAACATACTGACCAAAACCTTAATGAGCTGACAAGTAAAGTCTCATAAAGTATGACGCAAACTGTTGTCTCTGCCATATGCTTCTAATTTGAGCCATCTTGTCCTACATAAATAAACAGTGTACAGTTCGTTGTTACCTGCCTGAGAAAGGCCAGAAGAGAATAGATGGAAATGATTCTTGTTAAAAGCCAAAACACGAAAAACAGAGAAATTGGATGAAAATTTAAGTGGACACTTTGCTTGAATTGGCTTGAACCCGAACGCAGTCGAGATTGTGTTATTTTGCAGAGGCGTTAATGAGATTTCTTTAAATAGCTTCTTAGAGGAACGCTCCAATTTAGGAAACAGACAACATCTCTCCTCATCATCATCATCTCCACAAAAGTACAACATACATACACCTTAAGCCATCTTAACTGGCATATAATCACATAACGTAATATACAATTGCCAGGGTATGCATATAGTTGCTATGGTCTTCTGGTTGCCAGTTTATTGCTAAGGTGTTGCTAGGGTGTTCTGGGTGGTTGCCAGGGTATTGCCATTCAGCTGTTATGGTCTTATGGTTGTCAGTATGTTGCTAGGGTGTTGCTAGGGTGTTCTGGGTGGTTGCCAGGGCATTTCCATACAGCTGCCATGGTCTTCTGGTAGTCAGCTTGTTGCTATGGTGTTGCTAGTGTGTTCTAGGTGTTTTTCAGGTTATTGCCATACAGCTGCTATGGTTTTCAGGTAGTCAGCACATTGTTATGGTGTTGCTAGAGTGTTCTGGGTGGTTACCAGAGCATTACCATACAGCTGATATGGTCTTCTGGTAGTCACCATATTGATGGTGTTGCTAGGGTCTTCTGGCTGGTTGCCACGGCATTGTCATACAGCTTATATGGTCTTCTGGTTGTCAGCACATTGCTATGGTGTTGCTAGGATGTTTTGGGTGGTTGCCAGGGCATTGCCATACAACTGCTAAGGTCTTCTGGTTGTCAGCACGTTGCTATGGTGTTGCTATGGTGTTTTGAGTGATTGCCAGGGCATTGGGGATCAATATGAAAGTGATTCCAATAATATAGTTAGAATAATTGGAATAATTATAGTTATAGTTACTGACCTTGGTGTGAACGGGCCTTAAGTCTATTCTTAACCTTAAGTTAACCTTAACCTTGAGTTTCTTAATATAACTCTACTATATAGACTTAATTCAGATACCTTGAGTAGTGTAGACCTATCTGAAGTAAGTCCTAATAAAACTATACACCAAACTAGCTCCAAACCAATCTCTTTAAAATTAACTATTTAGCAATAGCATGCTAAACACAACAGTGGATTGAATGCAATGAGATTGTTGAGGCAAATATTTAAGAGATTGTATTATCTGATTGTATTATTTGAGCAAACTGCATAGTAATGCTCACCTTGGCAGACAGCACTAGTAGGACAGTGACGCTAGAGAAAAAGATGACTTGTTTCTCACCTGTCCATCATTTAGGAGGCCGAGGACCCCTAAGTGTCCAGTTCTGTTTTCCTCTTAAACAAGTATCCACGAGATTGAATGTGGAGTTTGACAGCTCACCATGAATCCATTAGTTCTCCATGTTGTGGCTTATGTGGTTGGTAGATAATGTTAAGCGCCCCTCCTTTAATGTATCCGCAGCAGATCGAAGCGATTCCTCGGCAGCGAACAGATAGCTTAATTCCCACACCTGAGCACTCCCGAATGCCTACACTCCGTCTCTCCAATCCCATGTCTCTCTCTCTCTCGTTCATTGCCCTTCTCTTCCTCTCCCTCACACTTCTTTCTCAGTTTCTCTCCTCCATGTCTCTGTTTGGCTTATTCCTCTGATTACATTGACCAGGAAATAATGTCCAGGCTCCAGATGAAGCAAGACCAGCTAAGAACATCCAAACAGGATGCAGGAAAGACACCGACAGGAACAACATCTCATTGCTGCCTCTCAGCCCCTGTGCTCAGCTGATAATGTCTTCTATTCAATCTCTGCAACAGTCTTGTTCTCTCTCTCTCTCTCTCTCTCTCTCTCTCTCTCTCTCTCTCTCTCTCTCTCTCTCTCTCTCTCTCTCTCTCTCTCTCTCTCTCTCTCTCTCTCTCTCTCTCTCTCTCTCTCTCTCTCTCTCTCGCTCTTTCTCACTCTCTCCATCTGTAACATACCTCACACTTCTCCAAGGATTTCTTTTCAACACAACAGGCAACAGTAAAGTTGGACCCTGAGCTCTGGCACCTCTGCACTCACTTTCTATACTGTTGCAGAAAATCAGACAGCAGTGGCCACAAACTAAATGACACCAGAATACATGTCCAATGTTCTGAGAGGGGATAAATAATACAGGCAGAATCTGACTGATCATGTTTTAGGCTGCACAGATGAGAATGAGGGCAAGAAAATATGTTTTCTTGCCACCTCAAGATCCATACATTGGATTTAATGTCAGTAATGTCACTGGTTCTTTACCTCGTGCCTCGTGATTTAAAGAGATAGTGCAGACAAAAATGAAAATACTGGGATTATTTACTCATCTCATGTGGTTCCAAACATGTATGACTTT